TAACGTGAGTATTTGTAATTCGTTACTTCACACCCCTGCTCATTGGTCAGTACTTTTAATACTAATCTAATAAACGGAAATGATCTTTCAGCTGCTGAGCACAAAAGAAGATATTTGAAGAGTTCTGGTAACAGTCGACAGCCACTATGGAAGTCAAAGTGCTTGGTTCCCAACATTCTTCATAATATCTTCTTTTGTGTTCAACGCAGACGTGAGGACAGAACGATCATTTCTGGCTGAACTCTCCCCTAAAGTCCTGTAAGAATCCAGTAGGTTTGTGCTTTGACTGAATCTTGATTGGGTTGTGTTGGACCTGGACACCAGTGATGATCTCTCCGCCGAATTGGCTCGATCCCACGGCTTCTTCACACCGTCTGCGGGACGAAACACACCAAACCTGACTTCAGCATCCATATTTACCATTTACTGCACTGCTCTCATTCAGATGAAGATAATAATCGGCGTACCTGCGGCGTTCTGTCCACGGCACGCGGGATCGTCCTGAAAGACATCAGCATCATTCACGGCAAACAACTAGCCAAAAACCTTAGTCCTTAAATCTTAAACCTTAAAGTGTCTATATCATAAAAGATCTCGCTTCAGATCGACCAGTCTGTACTCACACTTTGGCTTTCTCCATCCTTCTTCTCATCTACTGCTTTCCGTCTGTGGTGAGAAGTAAAGCATGTGTGAGTGTTTTATTGGTGTGTGTTTGTGATTAGCATGTATAGCTGTATCTGTACCTGCGAGCGAGCAGAGCGTTCATCTCCTCCATCAGTCCTCCGCTGCTCCGGTTGGCCTCGTTTTTGGCTCCGGACGCAGAGTTTTCCTCCGGCTGCGGACACACAGCCAAAGCCACACGCTGATTATCTGACTTTTATTTAAATCTATTATTTCAATCGAGTTTCTTAATGTGCATTCCTCATGTGAAATGTTGTCCATAGGGATTTTTAACTTTAACTTATTAAAGACAGATGAGCTACAAGGCTGTTATTTGATGGTATATGCTTT